TTATTCCTTTATACTAGCAATCATTAAGACTCCCTTCATTTGCATTCGATTTTCTTCACCCTCGTCACCACTATTCATCCCTCATCCACCATATCTCTTCACAACCACCGATTTCGCTGGAAAAAATCAACCATAAACCTGCAACATCAAATTAGACCCAAATATGGCATAAAAACTAGGTTTTTACCCAATTGGCAAACAAGCTTTTGAATCGACATAATAACCCATAAATCCCCCAATGAACTAGGACGCATAAGTCAAAATCTTATCTTTATCGGTGGGGTCTCCTTGGTGGTGGTGGTAATGGCCTTTCCAGTGATAGCATTTCTTCACAAGGAGGAAGAGAATTTTGGTGGGATGTCAAGTCCACTAAGCAAATTACACCCTTTGATTGCTAAATAAATGTAATATAATGGTAAAAAGGGGTATCGATCCTCGGGGAAATGGTTGTATTCAATCACCAATGCAATTCAATAGAACTAGTGAAATTGAACTAGCTAACTACAATTAAACTAAAAGGGGGTGTTTGATTACTTGAAAATTAAAATACTTGAATAACTAAAAACCTTGAAATTAAGCAAGTTGATGAGATGCTCAAAGGTTGGGAATAATTGGTTAACTAAGGCAATTCAACACAATGAACATTTGTGTGTTTATCATTAGGATCTAATACAAAGCTTATCCTTCATCCCAAATTGGTTATATCAATCATGAAGCATGATATGCCAAGATTCCTCATAGGTAGTATGGAGGTTAGGGAAGCCCACAACACACCTTCTTAATTAAGATCAAGGATCAATTGAAGCAATTAATCCCAAGAAATCAATTAGCCTTAAGAATGAAGGAATCTCCAATTCCTAGAGGATGTCAAATGCTTACACATCCATAAAGGAGCTATGATTCATAAGCTAGAGATAATTTCTACCATCATAAAGCCTTTGTTTTAGATAAATTCAATGATCTAATGCAAAATCAATGAAACAAATCAACCATTTCTCAATCAAATACTAAGCTCATGATCAAAGCATCAAATAAGCATAAGAATTGTAAACTAGAATCATTAACATGGAATAAATTGATAATCAACATAAATCCTTCAAAACCCACAAACATTCATTGGTATTCAGCCAAAGTCAACCAAATAAGAGTATTAGCCACTCATGGCAACAAAGTAACAAGAACAATAATCTAATTGCATAAAGAAACTACCTAAGATTTGGAAAGATGAAAGGAAATGGTTTCTAGCTCCCAAAATCGCCTCTTGCAAGTCTCCAATGGTGGAAAATCGAGAATGAGCCTCTATATCTGATCCCCCAAGGTTATGGCAAGCAAATGACCAAAATGCCCAAACTGGGCAGTTGAGCGGGTACCCGCGCGATGAAAATTCCACCCGCGCAAATGTTTTTGTAATGCTATTGGTCCTTCATTCCACCACTCCACCCTTCCACTACCAAATATTCCTTTGGTCCCCCCTTGTCCATGTAATTTGAATCCACCAATAATCATTTAGCCACCAAATGGATGCTCCAAGCCCAAAATTAGAAATTTATGATCCATCTTCACAAGCCCAAATAATCCAAGCTAATAACTTTCAAAGCCCAATTCTTCTTCTTTGATTCCGCCAAGCCCAAAAATGCCTCGGGAGCCCACTAAGCCCGTCTCCAATCAACCCGCAACCGCAACAAGCTCCAAAACCCTGCAAAATTCCTCATGCAACATAACAAGTCCCCGATATGATCCATGATAAAGAAAATAAAGAATATACAATGTAATACTAATAAAAAGAGCTAAAAATCTAAAATAAACTAATAAAAATAAGGAAATAAAATAAGCTATCAAATTTGAATTATGTTGCCCTCGTATTATGAATCCTCATCCAGTAGTTTGATCTTCAACCTGAATAAAGTCATAAACAACCAACGGGTGTGTTTGGATTGCTTTTTAAACTAAAAAATCCTTTTTAATAAGGCCTTTTTGATTTATGTCTTTTTCCAAAAAGAAATTTTTAAGATGTGTTTATATGAACTTGTGAGGATGCAAAGGAAAAAAAAAATCAAAAGTTACTAAAAGTCACAAATCCATGACTTCTTAAACAATTTTTTTTTCTTCGTCTCAAAAAGTTATTCTAAAAGAACTTTTGAAGTTACCAAAGTTTTTAAACTTTTGACTATTTGAAAAAGCAAAAAATCCAAAAAGTTATTTGAAAACGAATGCCAAACACCCTCTAAAACCTAGATTTGTAGATGACCAAATAACCCTAGTCGCTGCTCATGGTATTGACTAGAGGTGCTTCGTATGGTGATTGAGGAGAGAGTATGATTGAGGTGGTGTCAGGAACTTGTTGTGTGATCTCCAGCTAAACTAATTTTTCTCCGATGAACCATGTTTTTGTTTGTACTGTCGGCGATAAAGGTAATCTCGGTATGGTGCTGAAAAGAGATGAAAGAAATGGATAGAGGGTGCGGGTAGGGTAAGATGGGTGGGCCCATCTTATTTTGATATATAATTTTTATAAATAATTAGAAAACAATATAAATAAAGTCAAAAAGAAATTAAAAATGGTATATTAGCCTTTTTAACTTGATTAAGGCCCAAAAACGAAACAAAACCAAACCATAATGATGGTCCGAGTTAAAAATTCTTTATAGGGACTAAACATGCAGATTATCCCAAACCGCATGAACTATTCGTGTAATTTACCCTTTTTAAATTATATGTTTTTTATTTGAAAAACTTTTTCAAAAATGAAATTGTGGATGCACTTTCAACAAGAAAAGATGTCTTGAATAATATATATTATATTTTTCTTCTTATCATATACAAGTCTTTTTCGGAACTGCATTCATATTCGCAGGTCGCGCCTACACACGAGTTCGGTGATTTTTGTCTACAAAATCCATAATTTGCACCGTCCTTGTGCATGCATAGGTTTTGAAGTAAAACCATATATAAAAGCTTGTAAATTCATTATATATCTATGCTTATAAACTCACTAAGAGTTTGCCCATTTTTCTATATGACGGTAACTCCTACAACCATTTTATTTTCAAATACTTATATGTGTGCATCAATATCTCATTCACATATATTCTCTTTTAAACACAATTTATGTTGCATCAATATCTCATTCACATATATTCTCTTTTAAACACAATTTATGTTGTTTCAAAGCTCTCGCGAAAGGATTAATAATCTAAACAATATATATTTATAGTATCCAAAGTTTAACAAAAAAATGGATATGTTTTATTAAATTTCCAACAACTATTTTATAATAATCATTTATTAACGATATAGCCCTTACCTTGAAGGTATATCCAAACCAGGAATCAATATTTTATAACGGCCGAGTACAAAGCTAGCAAAAAGTTGACAGAAATTAAAAGGAATAAAAAAAAATCATATATGGGTTTTTAACCACTTAATGTACTTGAATCGATTATATTAAAAAGATAAAGTAAACATGAATCCGTAAGGTTTTGGAGTAATCTTTATATTTGATTTTTAACATCTTTTTAGCAACTCAGATGATCACTCAAACTTTAACTTGTATTTTCTCTTATTTATTTCTTTTTTAAAAATTTATTATTTTTAATTATTTATTTATATATTTTATTTTGTCTATTTATTTATTAGGACCTATTGATGTTACTCTGTATCTTCACTCACACACTCCTTCAAATATCCAACAACCACTACCTATAATTACCACCGACAACTACCATCAACACAACAATTCCGACCACCGCCACTAATCACCACCTCAAAATCGTATTCAATCACTAGGAAAACATAATCAACACAAAGCCATAAATCAAGAAAGCCAATAAACAACATTTTCATTGTTATCTTAAAATCCAAACGAGTTAAACAACAAAAGCTTCTAATTTTAGTAATCTTCGGATCGTTTGAAAATCAATGGATGATGAAAACTAGAAATCAGAAATCGAAATCTCATTTCTAAGAAGAAGATTAATGAAGCAGGTGATATTTGAAAGCTATCTTAGTGCTCGCAGGCTATCAGTTCTTCGTCAACACTTTCGGCAAATGTTTCCAACGACAAAGCGAGTGGGGAATCAATCGAGGCTAATAGAGAGAGAGAGAGAGAGAGATGATGATGATGATGATGATGATGATGATGATGGTTGCTTCTGATCTATGCTTTGTTTTTTAAACCCAATGATGCTTGTTTCAAAGAAATACGGTAGCTTTGGAGTATAGATTAATGCTTGATGGTAGCTTTAGAGAGGTTTCCGACCGAATAGAGAGATAGAGAGGTGGTGGCGAATGTTGACAAGCAGGATGCGGCTTTAAAGTGCATATCAACACTCGGTGGTTGCTTTGGAGAGGTTTATGGCGGAAAAGAGATGTGATGGAGGATGTCAACGTTCGATGGTCAATGGTGGCTTTAGAGAGGTTTATGCGGCGAAATACAGAGGTGGTTGCCCATGGTTGACATTCAATGGTTGCTTTGGAGAGGTTTCCAGTGGCAGTGTATTTCTTATTTAAAATTTTTTTTCTAATCAGATAATAAAATAAATAAAAAATGTTATAAATGTCATTTCAAATCTAGAGACTAAATCCAAAACAAAACCAAGCCACATAATGGTTTGAGTAAAAAAAATAGGGATCAAACATGTAGATTGCCTCAAATCTCATGGACCATTCATGTAAGTTATTCTAATAAGATTGTGAGGTTCTTCCCTACCTTATTAGGATCTTTTTAGGACTAGTTGTTTTGGTTTGTGGGCGAATGTCCCGAGCACTAGTGGAGACATGTTCCTTGTCAATCGTGTGGTGGTGCATCAATCCTGACTCCTGAGTATGCTATGCACCCCTTCTTCCAAGACCAAAAAGCTATTCAAAACATGAAATTGAAAAATGTACCTCAAACCCTACTTAGTCTTTATTTCTTGTAAAATGAACCTTTTTCTATTTTATGTCATTTTACTTTTTTCAGTTTAGTTAACCGGTTAAAATCTTAGTTTTTGGTTTTGATACGGTTCACATTTTTCCCATAAACAGAAACACCGAAAACACTTTTTGGCATAATTTAGCATCTTAAAAAACACCTATGTTAGTTAGTCTAGTAACAACACTCTAAGCCTAAAACCCATCTTTTATTACAACAATCCACCATCAATTATGATCAAACCTTCAAAAACTCAATGAAAAATCCTCTTTCTCCAAAATAGAGGACTGGACAACAAAACCATCATCTAAAACACCTTAATCAACACAGCTTCTAAAACATCTAGGTTTAGGAAAAAACGGATTTTACCCCATCAGATGCCCCAAATCTTCTCCAATTGCTGGAAAGTTCATTCATAACAACAATTTCTTCAAATTCTATTCTCACCATCTATATTTATATGTAGATATAAAAACCATCAGTGCATAATTTCTTGAAAACACATACCAAGATCAGTTTTGATGATATTTTTGTTAATCATCCTGCTTGAGCTTTGGTGATGTTAGTGGAATCATTGTCTGGAGTCTCTTGTTTTGTCTCAGAAATTTTGAGATTTGCATTTTTGTGGGCTTCTTCTTGATCTAGAAAAGCCTGTGCTTTCATGGTTTGCATCATCTGCTTCATTGTCTTCTCCTCTTCTTTCAGCTGCATTTCAACTATCATTTCCGCTTGCTTATCAACTGGTGAGAAGTATTCATTAATGGCAGCCTCCTGCAGTTAATCACCCAACTCTTCAAACATAACTCCCAAATATTTTCATCAAAGAAAATAAGATATTTTGTTAATATAACCTCAGATAAAACCTACCGTGTCCTCTAACTGCTTGTTTACAGCTTTCATCTCCTCCACCATTTGTCTAACCTCAGATAAAATAAGCTGTTCAGGGATCTTTCTAATCTCTGCTTTCTTCCGTTCTGCCTACAGGAATGAATACAAGGGAGAAGATGAAACACAGAAGCTAAATGATACTAAATACTAATCACAAACAAGATATCACTTTGTTATCGTTAAAATCTATGAAAAGATGTCAAAGAAGACTGTGAAGTGCTTACCTCAATAATACGTTTTTCAAGATCCAATCGATAAGATCTGATACGGCGTTCTTCATAACCTGATAAAACCCTAACATAGAACATGGCTTTCTTCCCAAAATCAATCAACTTATTCATCGTTTTGCAATGCCACTTGAGTTTATCAGCTTGATGACACTAAAATCACCGATAGATATCAGTTTGTTATCATAAAAATCTGTTAACTTGTAGTATTTTTTTACAGATAGTTTCTTGACCCACTATATACCTAATAAATAATAGTTAGTGATGATATTAGCTTAAATTATCATTTCTTTGTATGATTCTTTTACGATCAGCTTTAACTAGGCTGTTTAAGTTGGGTATATCATAATTCACTTTCCCGTTGATGAGGAAGCTGACTCCTAGCATAAGAAGATTTTCAGGTGTAGTGAGTGCATTCATCGTGCAACAGGAGACTCATCTGGATACCTAATATACTTATCATCTGGATACCTCAATAAACAAGTACCAAAAATATAAAAAGAGGTCGTATGCGATAATTGACGATTCATACAAGCAATTAACGCCAAAACCATTACTCGTGGCACCAGGAGGGCATCGACTGTGCGTATGTGTGTGTGTTGTGTACAGGTGCGTAATTATAACCCTAAATCATGTTTTCAATCATTATTCACCGATTCTTCAAATTGATTTCGACTTCAGGTTTTATAGTTTATGCATTCAATTGTTTCGTATGAAGGATTTACAAATTACGAAAATTGGAGGATCTACCTGATAAGAAGATCGAGAGACAGCGAGAGAGAAATCAGCAGCAGCAGTTCGTCGAGGCTCGAGGGTTAGACCAGATGCAGTGATAGTAGTTCGTAGTTGCGTCGAGGCGACCGGTGAGAGTAGCGAGAGAGAAGTCGATGGGGTTAAATGGGTGTTTGTATAACTCAAAGATCAATGTCATAAAATAGTAAGACAATAAAAAAAAAATTACTATTACTATCTGTCCAATACAAACGATTAATATATTAATGTAATTACAAAATCATCGATAAGGGACGATTTTAATTTTATATATGTCCTCTTAAACTTAAAAATATCAAATAGTTTAGTTTCTAAATATCATATTTATTTTTCATAAATTTTTAAAATATCTATCCAAATCCTTTTTTATAATACTTCTAATATTTTATAATTATTTTTTATAACTTAGAATTATTATAATAATTAATAAATTTAATCATATTATCCTTACGTCTATAATAAAAGAATGTGAACTTCTAAATTATTGGAATATCGGCCTCTCGACATACAAAAAGATTCATCTTCAACCCTTTCTATAGAATGTATATTTTGATTGTTTAGTTTTTGTTATTGTTGATTATTATCATGTTGTAAATGAAGTATATTTTAGATATTACTATTGATATTTTGATGTTTAAAAAGTGCATATACGATATTTTGATATTTAAGAAAGGCATATATGATATTTTGATGTTTAAAAATGACATATATGATATTTTGAAATTTTATGAAGAGTAAATATGATATTTAGAAATTTTATGGAGGGTAATATATGATATTTATAAATTAAGTTGGGTAAATATGATATTTTGATGTTTAAGATGGGCATATATGGAATTCTCCATTATCATTAACAATACCTTACCGTGGATGCTAAGGTTAGTTGTTTACGTGGGTTAATTTTCACCGCTTTTCACTGTCTTTCTCACCAACTTTGTTTCATCTATATCTCATCGGCTTCTTCTTTTCTAGAATGTATTCCATCATATCATCACAAAACAATTGACTCTCTCATTTTCTACCACCTTGCTGCTCCACTCAAGAAACGATTACTTCCGATGCCATTGGTTCTTTTCAGAGGAATTGAACCATCGTCTTCACCCGAGAAATCCATGTGTGTTCTGGTGTCTCCGTTCGTCATTCACATAACCACAACCATAACTGCACAATTGGCAGTGGCGGGACCTTAGTGGAGCCAGGGGGTCCCGGGCCACTGCTCCGATTCCGACACATAGTGTGTGTGTGTGTGTGTGTATATATATATATATGTTTTTTTATGTTTTTTCTATTAGGTGCACATGCTTAAAATACGAGTGTCACTACTAATTTAGATTTTTTCGATTTTTTTTTAATGTCACCCCTAATAATACGTTTTGCATCCCCAATGACAATTGGTGGCGCTCAACACTAACGTTGGTAATCGCCCAATAGTAGAACGACGGTGTTCTGCCATGTGGCTTCATTCTTTTACTCGGTTTTGAAGACGTATTATGAGCTTTGTACCCATCCCCATTGAAGTCCCTCGCTTCCGATGGACCGCTATCAACAAGAACTGCTCAACCGATGGTTATTATGATTTCTTTAACATGTTCTGAAGAACCACTTAAAGCAGAAGATATGTTTAAAGTTTTTTGTTAGTTTTTCTGTTTTTATTTTTAATATATATAGAAAATAAACATGCAATGCCCTAACCTATGCCTTCATCTCGATTCTCAGGTGGGGTATCAGTTTAACCCTATGTTTGATGATAAGTATTTTTTTCTTTGAGATTGAATGTTATCAAAACCTTTTTGCTTGATGAAACCATACAGAAGTGTCATGTTTCTACCATAACTTTATAATACGCATAACCTATTTGATAGAATGATTCGGTTACAATTATCAAATTAGTATAGCTTCATATTGCTTCCAAGACACCTGGCGTACATTCATAGGTATCATAAAGTTATATTTTTCGATTTTCCTCACAATCCAGTCTAAATATAGTTAACTTTAGATGATACGTTCTTTATTGTTTATAGAATGGTGTGTTAATCTTATTCTACAAGCTCACGAGTCATTGATACAAGTTAGGATCTTTATTACTGGGTAACTAAAGTTTGGTTATCTTATTACACCATGTAATCTGAAGCGTTTTGAGCATTCTAACACTCATATGGTGTACATGCAACCCTAGATGCTTTGGATCTATGTTTTCTCTATTATACATGCATACATTCAATATTCCAAAGCCTCATCCTAACTAGCATACAGTGGAGTGTAAACAATATGAAATACAAGTTAGATGACATACCTTTTAGTGTAGTTGAAGCCTTAGACCTTTAAGAACTTATTGCCCCAAGTGTTGCACATCAAATGGAATCACATAGCACCACCAACAAATTTAGGAACTTGAGAATATGTCACTTGCACTCATAAAATTGGCGTGCGCTCTTGTGTTTCCACTAGTCACTCCTTAGTGCCTCTTAAGTGCTAATTTCATGAGCTAGAGGGGTTCTTATATAGTGTGGCAAACTAGGGTTACACCATGTAAACCCTAATGACTTTTCATATCCATCATGCTCCATGGGTTAAAACCTCCATGAAGTATCAATGGGTTATCACATGGGTTTAGCCCAACATGAAGAACTATGGATCATAAGCTCACTTTATAAGAATGAATGATTTACTAAATCAACCCCTTATATTTAATTAGTCTCTTTTGATCTCCAAATTGATTCTTGATCAATACTAATGAAATAATATGATTTTATATTAACACATTAGAACTTATAATATATTAACTGATGGAGTGCCTAGTGTAACGCCTGTGTTTCTAGGCTTGTCATTAATGTTGATATAATAGTCTAGGTTAACCTTTGTAACCCGTTTTGAAATAATAGAAGTGTATTATTTGAGTATTATGTGTTATGTGCTTAATTATGTGTCTTAATTTAATTAAGAATAAAAATAAGCGTCAAAATGAAATGTTAGATAAAGCCGATATCTATGGATAATGTTGTATTAGTTGAATCGAGGTTTCCGAATATATAAAGAATGTCGGAATCCGAGTTATAACGAAGAAGTTATGAACTGTCGAAGTTTCGCGACAAAACCGGCAACGCTGAATGACGTAAAAAATAAAATTTACGTTAGAGCGATATTTATCCTTAGCGATATAAAAAAAATTCGTAGAGTTCGTTAAACCGAGAGCGTGCATGAAAAGAACGTCCAAATCTGACTTCGTATGAGGAAGTTATGATTTTTCGAAGTTTCGACTTAGCGGTATGCAGCCCAAATACTCGAAATAGAGATCAGGTGATATTTAGCCAAAAATTTCTAAATGAGAATTTAATATCTCATCGATAGTAGTCCAACGATAAAAATACAGACGAAAATGGAGTTCAGATGAAGGAGTTATGAATTTCGAACAGAGTTTTCCTATCCCGGCCTACTAAAAATAATATATAAGTAATATACTTATAATATAATAAAAATCAAATCAAAATTAGCCAATGGAGTCTAAAAGAGAGTTGTAGAGCATAATCTCACCTTCGCGTCGATATAAAGAACGTCGAAAATGGAGTTCGTATGCGAAAGTTATGAATTTCTGAAGTTTGGGGTGCGAAACCCCAAAACTGTCAGATACCATGACGTAGCAAGCAGTGCCACGACGTGGCAAGTCTTCTGACACCTCCGGGAGTCCCCCAGATGCAACTTGCGATGACGCATGCAGTGACGACCAAGCCCACGATGTGGAAAAGGGTGTCACGACGTGGCAAGGGCCAGTTTTGCCCTATAAATAGATTTGAAGGGCCAGCCGAGTTTGGTTGCTCATTCTCTCATCTCTCACCTATATTGCATCGATTTACATGCAAATAAGTACCCCCCGAAGCCCCGGTATCATCCCGATACCCGAAGCAAGTCCCAAAGCCTCGAAGATCCCGAGAAGTAAGATTCCCGAGACGAAGCTCTGCCCGCGAGGAGCCTGGTTTTTGTGAAGATATTCCAGATCTACCGAAGAATACTATTTCTACAAGTCGTAGTGTTGTTCGATCATCTTCTGATCAAGTGAGTGTGTAGTTACTTTCTTTTAACGCATAACTATTAAGTATTTTATACGATATACGTGTTATGTGTATATTTTGTTGTTATATGTGGGAATGTATATTCATTTTCTTCTATCTCATAAATATGATTTATTCTCTATGAAATGTATGTTATGTGTGTGTGCCTCGTATGTTATGTGGAATATGTATTGACTGAACATGCTATACAGGTTTTAAACTATGTATAAAAATATATATTTTTATCTACTAATATGTTGGGTAGAACATGGGTAGATAGTTGATGTGTGATAAACAGATGAGAGGCTTCGATGTTGTTGATGTTGACCTAGTCATCTAGCGGAGTATGGATGACAACCACAGACTCTTTCTAGACAGTCCAGTGGAACGCTAGCAGGTTCATAACCTATAGGTGTTGTGAACGATGTGTTCACCGGTGTACTCTATCCCCCTCATGGTTGCCTTTAGGATATCTATTGTTGAGGAAACCCCTTAGCAGTAATGTCCGTCCCGATGCAAATCCTAGATTAGGTCCCTTGAGATATATGTTGTTTTAGGGACGTAAAGTGAGGATAACGGGAATGGGTAATCGGGATAGTGATTGATTGGCGAAATTAAATATAATTTATTTATTGTGGGTTGAAAACCCTATATGCTCACCAGGCTCCCAAGTCTGACCCACTCAGTCTTATTTGCATTACAAGAAGTAGTGCGAGGGCATAAGATGGATGAATCATCAAGTTGTTTTGTAGACAAGTCTGTATATGTATATATTTTTTGAATGACTTGTAATGTTATCGTGTATGCTTTATGGTCTGTATCGGAACATGACATCCCGAGTTTTGATTATATAATGAAAATGCATCTCTTGATGAAATGCTTTGATAAATATTGTTTTATCATATTTTGTTTTGGGAACAAATTCCGTAACTCTTTTAAATCAAAAGGATTTACTCTGAAATTATTTTTAAAGCATAAATGAAACCGGTCTTTTCTGGCCGTGATTTTGGGGATGTCACACCTAGGGCAGCACCGCAGAACCGCGTCTAGCCCAAGATTCGGGCATGCCAACTAGGCTCAGCCCAACAGGCTTAGTGCCCGCTGGCGTCCCCGGGAGCGAATCGCGCAGGCGGAAGGCTCGCGCCCGCCAAGAGGCGCTCCTTGCTCCAAGACAAAATATACGGTCAGGAGACAAACAAAAGGATCAGAGCATTACCGTCGGAGCCAATGAGAGCACTCTAGCGGTTAAAGGCGCACGACCCTCTAATCAGCGCCTTTGATCCTGTCTCCCCAAAAGCGATCCTATCTGGTACGGCTCAGGCAGGAGCACTAGGTATAAAAGGATGTGCTCTCAGACCTGCAAGGTAAGTTCTCTGGGATTTCTAGAGAGAAGACACACAAACCCTAAAACACCCTCTAACTTGACCGTCATAGCGTTCTTCCGGGAGCTCCTCCCGGAAAGCGGCTGACGGCCTTTGTTCTTTGTGATCTTGCAATGATAGCTAGACGTTCGAGAGAAGTTTACAGATAGAGAAAGAGCAAGGTCGCATCATTTTGGCGCCATTCGTTTGTGAGACAAAGAACACAAGCGAAAAGTACAAAAGCAAACGTCAATGGCATCCAACGGCAGTGAAGAACGACCGACCAGTCCCATACATCCCATGATGGCGTTGGACAAAACACCACCGTCTACAATGGTCAACAGGGCCATTTTAGGCGAAGGAAGTTCTACAGCAATCGTCGGAAAGGTTCCACAACCGCCGCTTTCTCAGCAAGGAACGACTCCGGGGGGCCACTTTCGTCTACACACCTTCAGATGCCACCATTCTTTGCACCGCCGCTACAGCAGGCACAACCGGTCCACTCAACAACACTTCCATCGAGTCACGTTTTCAACATCTCACTGTCGTTTGCAACGCCATCGTAATTCCAGATGACAGGTGGACAGAGTTCAACGACCTCGTTACCGCCACTGACACAAACCATGATAAACCACTCACCACCCATCTACCCGATGGCCGGCGCATGGACTGGACCGACTATCCCCACCAACGGCAGCCTACAACAGCCAGTAATGATCAACCCTGTAGCCCCCGTGCACCCTTTCTCCGCCAGTTATCCCCTCCAGCTGCCATTCCAGCCATACCCCTTTTATGGACCAAGTCCTGGCTACCTCACACCGCCATCGCATGGCATGAACCCTCAATACCAACAGGGAGCGTCGACTATCCCAGTACAAGATGGTTTTTTCCGTAGTGTGATGTCTCCGTTTGTTAAAGAGCTGTTGGATTATGAAATACCGAACACAGAAAAGCTCCTAATGCTCAAAACGTACAATGGAACCATCGACCCGGATAGCCACATCGACACGTATGAATGGACGATGACGTCGTTGAAACTTAACGAGAAGTTCTGGTGCACGTACTTCCCGATGACCCTTGATGGCAACGCCGACACGTGGTTCAAGACGTTGTAACCAGGCAACATTTCAAACTTTGCTCAGCTTAAGTACCTCTTCCTTACCAACTTCATGCAGTTACGTAAGTACAAGGGAGATTCTCATTCAATCATAGGCTGTAAACAGAAAGAGGGGGAAACTATACGAGAATATTTCACAAGGTTCGTAAATGTTACGTTGGATGTACCAGGACACGATGAAGGGGTCATAGCTGGCGCCTTTACATGGGGGCTCTTGCCAAGCCCTTTGTCACAAAAACTCATGGGAAAGAAGCCCTTAACATGGGCCGAATTGAAAGAAAGGGTAGAGCGGTATCTGCAACAGGAAGACGGCGAGGCAGCCAAGTAGGCTTACTTGAATGCCATGGTGACCAGACATCACAACCCGGGTCACATGAAATAACAGTCGGCCAATGTAACGCCCGATGTGTTTTCGACCGTTAGTCAAGGACGACAGACACGGTCGCCACCCAGAAGTGTACACGGTGTCCGAGAAATAACAGTCGGCCAATGTAACGCCCGGGTTTTCAGAGCTAAGCATTTTTGTCAATGTAATAGTCTAGGTCAACTATTGTAACTCTTTTTGAAGTAATAAATATGAAATATTTGAGTATTATGTGAATTATGTGTGTTTATGTGTTTATTATTTAATTATAAATGTATAATTAATAAAGAATAAAAATGAGCGTCAAAATTAAAGTGTGAGATAATCCCTATATCTCTACATAAAGTTGTAGAATATGTATCAAGGTTTCCGTACATATAAAGAACGCCGAAATCCGAGTTATAACGAAGAAGTTATGACCCGCCGAAGTTTTACGGCAAAACCGGCACGGCACCGGGAGACGTAAATAGTGAATTTACGATAGAGACTTTTTAGCCTTAGCAATCTAAACAAAAGTCGTAGAATATGTTAAACTAAGAACATCGATAAAAAGAACGCCCAAATCTGACTTCGTATGAAGAAGTTATGATTTTTCTAAGATTCGGCTTAGCAGTGCACGGCCCGAAACTCGAATTTTAGTTCGAGCGGTTTTTGGCTTACGTGACCTAAATGAGAGTTGAAGATCTCATTCATAGGAACTCAACGGTAAAAAGACAGACGAAAACGGAGTCCGTATGAAGGAGTTATGAACTCTTCGCGGTCATTTAACAGACTAAACGCCTCCTACAAAAGTTGTAGATCTTGATTTTACCTACGCGTGGATATAAAGAACGTCGAAAACGGAGCTCGTATGCGAAATTTATGATTTTTCTAAGTTTGAGGGCTGATACGCGATAGGGGTGACGTGGCACCACCAGAATTGGACACGTGGCATCACCAGAAGGCCACCACATGGACCAACTCGGCGAGTAGGTCCCCCTACTCGGCGAGTCCATCAGAATCCTCCTCTATAAATAGAGGTGCCGGGTTCCCTCATTTCCTCACCCCTCACCCCTCTTCTTTCTCTCTCTAAACTCTCTCTCTAAGCTCCCTAACCCCCCTAAAAGCCTAGGTAAACCCCCTAGCACCCGAAGGAAGCCCCGAGGCTCCCAGAGTCCCGAGAAAAGAGCCTTTCGGCTCGGGAACGCTGCTCCAGCGAAGCCCGGTTTTCGAGAAAAACCCGCTGTAAGTGAGCTGTACCTATCCTATCTTTAGTTTAGCTTATGTTTTAATATAGGAATGTTATTAGGTCCTTAAAATAATTATTCGGGCTATTATTATGAGTTATATTAAGTGTTATTAACGGGTTATATAATAATAATAATAGTCATACAATTAATTTGTCGCGGTTATCATTAGACTAAACCCTAGTGGTATCGATACTAGGTTTTATCGAAGGAATATCATTTTGAGAGTATCGAAGCGCTGTCCGAGTGCTGAGTCACCACCTAATTAGGTGAGTGCATAGTTACTTTCAACTTACACATAGATATGAAGTATTTTATATAAATTACGTGCTATGTGTGCATATTATCTGAATACTTGCTATCTATGCTAGATGAACGTTGTTATACATGTTTTTAATGATTTAAACTGTATATGTATTTTATATCTACGAAAATGTTGGGGTAAAACATGGGTAGATGTAATAGGTGATGTGTGATAAAATGATGAGAGGCCTCAATGTTGTTGTTGTTGATCCAGTCATCTAGCGGAGTATAGATGACAACCACGGACTCTTTTAGACAGTCCAGTGGAACACTAGCAGGCTCGCAACCTGTAGGTGTTGTGAACGATGTGTTCACCGGTGTACTCCATCCCCCACATGGTTGCCTATTAGGACATTTATTGCTGAGGAATCCCCTTAGCAGTAGTGTCCGTCCCGATGATGATCCTTAGGCTAGGTCCCTTATGATAGGTGTTTAGGGACGTAAAGTGAGGATAACGGGAACGGGTAATCGGGTTATTGTTGATTGATGAAATCAATAAACTTATTTATTGTGGGTTGAAAACCCTATGTGCTCACCAGGCTCCCAAGCCTGACCCACTCAGTTTTATGTATTACAGGTAGTGGCGCATGAGCATAGGTGTGATGTTTTGGACGAGGGATTACGGATATAGGCCTGTAGATATGAAATAATGTAGTAAGGCTTATATTGTACTGTTTATACTTTTGATCTGTACGAACATGACATCCCGAGTCTTTTAATGAAATACATTTCTATGGAAATGCTTTTGATAAATCTTTATCATATTATTGTTTTGGGACAAATTCCGCAACCCTTTTATTAAAAGATAACTCTGATTTTGAAATAAAGTATAAACAAAACCGGTCTTTTCTGGCCGTGATTTTGGGGATGTCACAGGCAAGTCGTCCAAGAACCGATACTGTGAATATCACAAGAGTAAGAGACACGATATGGCCAATTGTTTGGTATTAAAGAAAAAGATGGAAGAGAAGCAACTCAAATGAGATCTGGTGGAAATAGCGGAAGCCTGCGCACCAAGTTTGATGTTGAAAAAGCCAAGGGCACACCTCTTGAGGGGATCCAACCCAAGGAAATATTCATGATACGAAGTAAGAGAAACAGGGAAGAACAACGGGGGGGGGGGGGGGGGAGCAGGAGACTGCCAAACTTTCAGCACACACACACACGTTCTCCGTACAAGACCCCCGACCGGAAGGATGGAGGGGCGGCAACCCGCTGGTGATACAAGCCTCCATCAGGGATCACTACCACACGAGTTGGTGTGGAACTCATAGAACTCAGCGGGGGAGAAAAGTTGTGCCTAGTATGTACCCTCTTGGTAGCAGTGGGCGCCCCAGTAACTGGCTCACCCATGGCTTGTATAACTTTTCGTTTCGCCTGCATCCACCGGCCATCAGCGATGATTCCCTCTTTGTTGTCCTCGCTATCATCCAAGGAAGAAGGAACACCACCCAGGGGCATGATAGCGTAAATAGGGAGAGCATGCAGTGGATTCTCCTCGGTCGCCGATGAACATGTCGGAGGAAGGGGAGGGCAACGGTTAGAGCAAGCTGATCCATCGGGCGAGGTGGAGGAAGTCGATCGACCAGATCCACCTCGCGAAACTCCAACTTTCCTCAATAACGTTTTCACAGCACCTCATCCATGGAGGAAGAAGGAACACCACCCAGGGGCATGATAGCGTAAATAGGGCGAGCATGCAGTGGATTCTCCTCGGACACCGACGAACTTGTCGGAGGAACGGGAGGGCAACGGTTAGAGCAAGCTAATCCATCGGGTGAGGTGGAGGAAGCCGATCAACCAAATCCACCTCACGAAACTCCAACTTTCCCTAATAACGTTTTCGCAGCACCTCATCCATGGACAAAGAAAAGTCAGCACCTAGGGAAAGCAGAACGGAAATATAAATAACACATGAGTAATAAGGGAACGAAAATGAAAAGAGGGATACAATACTCACCATCAACGATGGAGAAGAACACCACCATTTTTCCACACCGCCTCCAAGAGGGGATCATCCCTACCCCAGAAAGAAGCGCCTCAGAGTAATCTTCAGCAGATACCTGCACACTCTTCAAGTAGTCGGCGATACCCTGGTTGTGGGGGTAGAGCTTAGGGATAGTATCGGCGAAAGCAGTGGCACGATAGCGACCACTCCTAACCAGTTCCTGATTCACCCACAACCATTTATCATGCCAGTTTTTGGGGGTACGCCCGTCGGGAACTAAGGCGTGTCCCCCTCGTCGGACCGAGAAGGTGCATTTATCTCCGGTAACACAGAATCGGAAGAAAAACTTGAAGACGAAGTAATCCGGAAGATACCCGTTGGCCTTGCAGATCATTTGAAACGCGACCACTTTGTTAACTACATTGGGAGTCAACACCTGAAGACTGCAACCATCTTTCTGGAGGACCTCCTCCTGAAAATCCGTTAGAGGAAAGCGTATATCAGCATCTAGGGTTTTCATGTAAACCCCTATCTTACCAGGGGGAGGGGAAGAGATGCTAGATCCAGGAGAGGGAAACGCCACACCCTCTAAGGAAGACAAGCCATAAGTGATTTCCAACTGACGATACTCGGTGGCGGATGGAATGACTCCGAGAAGGGTTGCCATGAAAGAAAAATGGAAGATAAACGCAAATAGGAGAAGGAGGAACATATGAGGCAAGAGAAACCGTGAAAATACCCTTATAAAGAAGTGTAGGAGGCGGGACATTTAAATGTCTGACATAATGACGTAACTGCTAGTCATCATGCGCAGTCATGTCACCATTAAGGACACAGTGGCGGATAAAGAAAACCGACACACGTCAGTTAATTAAGCCCAGAACGTTGTACCTCGCGTTGCAACGCTACGACTACTGGACTGGGGGGCTTGATGGCGTGCCTAGGGCAGCACAGTAGAACCACGTCTTGCCCAAGAGTCAGGCACGCCAACTAGGCTCAGCCCAGCAGGCTTAGCGCCCGCTGGCGTCCCCGAGAGCGAAGCGCGCAGGCGGAAGGCTCGCGCCCGCCAAGAGGCGCTCCTTGCTCCAAGACAAAAGATACAGTCATGAGACAAACAGAAGGATCAGAGCATTACTGTCGGAGCCAATGAGAGTGCTCTAGCGGTTGAAGGAGCACGACCCTCCAATCAGCGCCTCTGATCCTGTCTCCCCAAAAGCGATCATGTCTGGTACGGCTCAGGCAGGAGCGCTAGGTATAAAAGGATGTGCTCTCAGACCTGCGAGGTAAGTTCTCTGGGATTTCTAGAGAGAAGACACACAAACCCTAAAACACCCTCTAACTTGACCGTCGGAGCGTTCTTCCGGGAGCTCCTCCCGAAAAGCGGCTGACGGACTCTGTTGTTTATGATCTTGCAGTGATAGCTAGACGTTCGAGAGAAGTTTGCGGATAGAGAAAGAGAAAGGTCGCATCATTAACAAACCATAAATAACCTCTTCTCAATTATCCATCCTTCAGATTGTTCTGGTGTCATGCAACCCAAATAGACAATGCTAATCTCGGGTCAAGTACATACCAATAATAGTATGGGCTTAGACACCTAATCCAATATAATCATCATAAACCCAAAGTCAATGAAGATGCTTTTGCAGATGTAGAAAATGCTTTCCATAAAATTGGTTGTTTGGTTTTCATGGTGATGAGATATTTAATTTTAAGTTTTTAAAGCTTTATTCAAGTTTTTATTTGGAAAAAACTATAAGTTCAGTATTAGAGTTCACATTATTAAATGTTTTTGTTAGTACCTTCATTTAATCAAAACCTAGACTTTATCATTTATTGGGAAATTAGTTATAATATTGATGTTATTTTGTGTGAAGGATCCGGCTGAAGGATTTTGGGTTCATCCAAAACTTTTAGTTCACTCCCAAAACTTTTAGTTCACTAAACCCATGTAATCTCCTTATATGTCATAACTGCACTGTTTAATCAGTTTGATAATAAATATCATCATGGCTTAGGGACATGTTTACTATTTATTACATTTATCTAAGGGTAAAATGAAACTTTTCTTGTTTTACAGCTTCTGGTGTTTGACACTCACCAATTCATGAATCCCTGATATTAAGCCTATGTGTTGTATGGGTTACGAACTAGGAGTTTGTATCGGTAAGAAAAACAAACATTGCTACCCATCATATTTGTATATGGAAATACCAAATATGGTTAATATAAAATCTCTTTTTACTGATAATAACATCCAATTTTATATAAATTTCATTGTTTATTATATATAATAACAACATTGTAATGTCCCAAAAATCATAAGGTAAAATTTTCATTTTTAATTCAACCTGTAACAACCATAAAATTTCCAATAAATTTAAACATTTCAAAAACAACCCAAATCCATTAATTATTACAAAAAGGATTTCAGTTTGTTTATTATCAGAGTATCCCATAAACATTAATGTAAAAATGAAGAGCAGTACGATCACACCTTCGCCTTACCACGATCTCTTGATGTACCTGAAACAAAACATTGAAACTATAAGCTCGAGACCTTAGTGAGTTACCCCCAAAATACCAACCACATATAACCATACTCATATCATATCGCAATACATATCATCCATGCATATCGAGTCTACAGTGTAACTGGTCCGCACGCACCAGGCCTTCAATCCACCTGGTCCACTATCCGAGTCTACAGTATGACTGGTCCGCCCGCACCAGGCCTTCAGTCCACCTGGTCCACCCTCTGAGTCTACAGTATGACTGTTCCGCCCGTACCGGGCCTTCAGTCGGTCTGGTCCACTCTCCAAGCCTCGGCACGTCTGGACCGCCCCATTAGGCCTTCAGCCTATCCGGACCGCTCGCTGGGCCTACGGTCTATCCAGTCCGCCCTGGGTATGTTGTCTTACATCACAAAGCAGGACCCACCTCAACCTAACCCCAGTCAAACAACCATGTGCACATAAAACAATTAATCACATAACAATCCTCAGCCAAACAAACGGTTCTATCAGATCATACAACATAAAAACATCCTAACCAGAATACCGACATAACCGGTTACTAACATAACCTTCCGTATATACCAAAATACCGACCTTAACCAGGTTACTAACATAATACCATCCTAATTACCAGGATGCAGATATAGCAAATCAATAACATATCAAACGAATACCCATATTCCCATCCGATAAAGGGGCGACCTTGGTGCCTTAGACCCTGTTGATATAGTGAGGATAACTCACCTTGCACTTACCGAACTGGAGAGATAGAATCAAAACTCCCGATCATCGCCACGAACACCACCACCTATTAATCCAATGAAACCATAACCATCAGAACCCAAATTACCAACATACCCTCAAAAGTCAACTGGTCAACTCTTGGCCAAAGTCTCAATCCTAGTCAAAGTCATCCTTCCTGGTTGACCCTACTCGTCGAGTCAACCTAGTGACTCGCCGAGTTCACTTAACTCTAAAAGCCACTATACATGACTTGACTCGCCGAGTTCCCATCCGACTCGCCGAGTCACTACGCGACTCAGTGCCTGAAACCCCAGTCCAACTTGCCGAGTCATATCCCAGACTCACCAAGTTCATACGGGTATTCCCATAATCGAAAGATACCGAGCTACTCCTTTGCTCCAAACAATAGATATGGGTCCCTAGAGTGTATTAGCAACATAAAGTTGCTACCTTTACGTGCTTTCATGTACCATAATTCAAAAACCAAGCTAAAAAGGAACTTAACTCATGGGGGATGGCTTTTGCATAGCAATTAAAAGGGCTTTCTGCATATTGGATCCAAATAGAACTCAGATCTAGAGTTTCAACTTCAGATCTAACTCATGCACCAAAAATCTCATCATATTATCTCCAAGAACTCTCACTCACGATTTAGGGTTTATGGATCTTAAAAGGGTAGTAAGGGGGCTAAGGGGTGGATAATAGATCCTTTAAATAGGGTGCAAACCCTAAATCTTATGGTTTTCTCTTCCCAGCACTGATTCGACGAGTCCAACCGCCGACTCGGCGAGTCAGGCCACTTAATCACGTGCTCTTGGCATGCTCCGACTCGACGAGTCATAGCTCCAACTCGCCAAGTCCACCCTCCTAATAACACTTTACACCCCTGAACTCTTGCTTCTGAACTTGGGATGTTACAATCCCCCCCCCCCCCCCCGCTTAAATTAGGCTTCGTCCTCGAAGTCGGCTACAGCACACGATTCGAAAAATCATTTCTACAATACAACCTCCCGTCTTGAACCGAAACCCAACCTATACAGATATTACTTATCGCATCCCTTGTGAAACCATTTCTTCCAATGCCAAACCTTGCCAACTTATCTAAGTCGGCCACCGGCTTCTTTCCCCTGATAACTACACATATCAACCAAGTATCACCTGATGATACTACCATATTCCCGTCTTACGCATTCATTCGCCGCTTGCGAAAACTGGATACCATTATAAACCACCGGGTCCTGAACCAGTATTTACCTGTTATCCTTTGCCCAACTGGCGCTACTTATATCAAATTGCACTGATGGTAACTCATCTCATTTCCTCCCTGAATCCAATCCCTTACCGTGCTGACAATATAATGCATCCTTTAGCTTCCGAACAGCTCCCGTGAACCCTCAATTATCACACTTATACACATCTAACCTGACCCAATCAACCTTGGGCTGGAAAACCAGGCACGCCTACGATGGGTCCAGCCATCCCTCGTATGGAACACCACCACATACATAATCCATGACTACAACCCTACTTGGAACCCAAGGATCTATCCTTGCATCACTTCCGAACTCCTCTGATTCGACATCAACGATAATCATTCCACAACCTCAACGGACACCCAACCCGGATGTGCTTCCATACAACTGGTACAATCTCAGTGCTCACTATCCATAACTGAAATACTTTCGATCATCCATTCACACTACTGCTTTCACTTCCGTTACCCAACACTCCCTCCTTGATCTACTTACATTTCCTTTCCATTATTCAAGGAAGTATACTCGACGACCTTTACCACATCATCAAGTGCCACGGTGCTAAAACTCCACACTACACTACCCATTGTAGAGCAACTGCTAATCCATAACTCCCATGTACTCCAAATCTGATCACATAACTAACAAAGCCCATACACGACCTTTATCTAACTCCATTATCATGATCAATACTTGAGGCCATACCTATTGATTGTTATTGCATGGCGACATCCTCACTCATTCTCCGCATACAAGTCTAGTAACACATATAAAGTCTTCAGCATAACTGGACCGCCTTACCAGGCCTTCAACCTATCTGGACCACTCTCAGAACCATTAGCATATCTGGACCGCCCTTCTGGGCCTTCAGCCTGTCTGGACCGTTCTTCGAGCCTTCGGCCTGACTAGTATGCCCACCGGCCTTTAGTTTCTCCGAACCGCTCAAAACTATTGTACATCACCCTGAACCATTCTTCCCGAGAATCTCTCCCATGCATTCTGTTCTAGCCCTCCAGGGGTTTCGAATTCCAGATCCAACCCATGAATTTTTAACCCCGGCCTAATCCCAGGCCTCACATCGATCAACTACCTTATATAAAACCATGGTCTGTTCCCTGCCTCACGTGTCTATCATCTGCTCTAACCAGTTCACA